AGGCATTGTATTGGTTAGATAACCCCTTCAACAATTAGCTGTACAATTGAATAACGAGAGTGCAACGCCAGGTTAGTAGGTCAGCAATAGCTCTAGCGTGAAGTATGTTCCTTTCATTGCGTATTCATTTTTTATTTTACGCTACTGACTACCAACCATACAGAGCGTTAGAGTCTATAATCATCAATGATATTCGTGAACCAACAGCTATGTTCATGTAAAATTTAGATTTAAATATTTAATACGAATGAGTGAATTTATTAATTTATAAAAATAATTTTTAGTGATTGATAAGTATTCGATTGTTTTATCCCAAAAATATTTTTTAATTACGCATTATTTGCGTTTTTTAAAATAATATTTCATAATGGTTTCATTATATATGAAATTATTTATTAACATTAAATGATTTTCATAATATTCTTAAAGAATCTGAAAGTATTACATAACTAATACTTAATTATTATATATATATATATATATATATATATATATATATATATATATATATATATATATATATATATATATATATTTAAAGAAAGTTCAAAATCATCTTATTGAATGTTTCCAAAAAATAAAAAATATAGGTAATTTAATATTGCAAGACATATAACGTCTTTATATATATATATATATATATATATATATATATATATATATATATATATATATATAAAGACGTTATATATCTTATATATAAAGACATTATATGTCTTCCAATATTAAATTACCTATTTTTTTTATTTTTTGGAAACATTCAATAAGATGATTTTGAACATTCTTTAAATTACAACTAAAAACTGCTCAAATCACCACTTTAATAATTATAATTTTTCGCAAACATTATTTATTATTTTTTTTTTTAAAGAAAAAACACAAAAATCACATAGTTTGACCAGTCAAGATTTTTAATTGCATCTAAGCATACCAACATTCAATGAGCTCGCATAGACTCAGTACAAATCATTTGGTGACAAATTAAAAACTAATTTCAATCGATGAAAGAAATGACGTTCGAAGGAAGGGACTTTTTTTACAGGCTTTGCGGTAACAAATGCCTAAATTAATTAAAAAGAAAGAGGAACAAATTAAAAAGATCCACGAAATAAAGCAATTCTTTATTAAGGAATATAAATATTGATATACTGTTAATCCAACTTGCTTAACGAATTACACGAGATTGTCTAGGAACCCAGACAATCCTGCAGTATAGGATGCAAGATTCGTTTGTTGATTATTTAAAAAATAATAATAAATAAAATTAGCCCGATGTGAAACATGATTTTTTAAAAATATATCATACGCAAATAAGTTTCAAACGAAAATTGTTCACCTTAATACTACCTACATACGAAAATGGTCTTGTTCATTTTCATCGTCATAATCTTTATCCCAGAACAAAGAAAAAAAAGAAAAAAAAAAGGCTTGTTAAAAGTTTTAAAATGAATCTGAAGATATCCTCAAAATGGAATTCTTTGCAGATATTGGTGTAATGAGGACTGCTGGAGTATAGTCCACACTGAGAACGAGATGCTTCAGTTAGTGAATGTAAAGAAATTGCAGAGATTCAAAAAATGAATTTATCGTCCAGTCCCTCCTTGAATGACCTTGGAGCCAGAAGGAGAATATAAGGATGGGATATCTAATTAAATAAGATAGTAAAATTAATCTTAAATCGAATTAAAAATAATTAGAAAGAAAATACAACCACTTTCTTGAACATTTCTAAAATATTTTTATTTTGAAGTGACGTGCAAGAAATAATAAACTGTTCGACATACAAAATATAATATGACATCTGTACTTCGCTAGAATTAGACCAGTAAAGGTAAATATTAAAAATAATAAGGTAAACTATTAGGCCGTTAAAGTGACCTGGACTACGTCGCATGGTGAGCATTTCGAAACATCTTTTGACATTGGAAAGAGAGAGGTGCGAGGCCCTCTGTTTGAACTAATGAGTTGATTGCATAATGCCATTAGGCTATTAAGAAATTTCGGGCAAAATGTCGATTGTAATCAACTATCACAATTATCACAATCTTAGGTAGTTATTCTAATCCATACACTTAGTGAAACCGTCTAATTAGGTCTTAAGAATTGGTGTCAGTTCAATTTCATCCACCGAATTCAAAAGGTCAGTTTCGACAAAAGGCCATGACTTAAACCTCATTTAAAAAAAACATATTTGAACCAAAAAGTAGATTTCATAACAGCTTTACAGCAAAATTTAATAAATTATATTTATAATAGACATTACATTGCCATAAACATATGGCTAAAAACTGTTTAAAAAAAAAATCAGATAATAAATAAATAAATCAGCTAAGATTATGATTAATTTATTTTCCGATTGTAACAAATACTTGTTCATTTGAACAATACGAAAAGAAATTAACAAACTCTTATCATATATTAATACCATAGGTGCGTTGTATTGGGTCGTTTCATAGGAAATATTTTCAAATAAAAAGTTATTTAGTAAAACAGCTTTTTGAAGGCTAACCAGTTTTGTTCAAAATATTTATCCTCATTTTATACATTTTCTCCAATCTGTTATCAAATTTTTAATCCAAAAATTGAAAAAAAAATCTGGATTTTGTGAAGATATGGAGCCAGAAAATGCCTTTTTCACCAGAGAAACATTTTGAAAAATTTTACCGTTTGGACGTTATCCAAATTTCTGAACAGATGGAAAACTTTTCTTTACTGTCCATCGAGATCTGTCAAACATGAGATCTGTCGTTGTGTAAGAGTATTTGGATTTTTCTTATTGAATTTTTTGGATGAAATTTTTTTTCAAATCACCGTCGAACAGTTTGTTCGTTACAACATCCTTCTTCCTCGAAGGCCATTGTGATGTTTCCTGCAGCCTAGGCCACCGAGTGTCCAAGTTTAAACTCTTAAAAAAATATATATATAGTCTAAAATAGCGTGTTTAATCAAGCTAATATAATTGGTTGTCTTCAATATTTAAGAGTCTTATAAACAGAGATTGTTTATTAAATAAAAATTCATTTATGAATGAATATTTATTCTAAAAAATGGCTCACATACCTCGGGAACCGTAACTAATTCATAGAAATTTATTGCCTTTATTAACATTTTAAAAAAATTTCAAGGATCTGAGACTTGCTACTTATATGATATGATAGGTGGACATCTTGTAACAATGTGGCAAAGAAGACAGTAACTTGAAGATTGGAAAGTAATCGTCGAAAAATTGGGCAACAACACCATTTGCTATCGAACACATAAAAGGATTTTAAGAGCCTTTCAAACACAGGCAATAGGGACACATCATCCAGTGATTTCCTTGTAGTGGCAAGAGGCATCAGTTCACTGTAATAGGACGCCCGAACACTGCAAAGAACCTTTCACCGTTGATTTAAGGGACGGAACTTGTGAGTTCAGTTTTCCATTTAGAAAGTTCTATTTAAAATAATATATTATATGTAACTCATTGTATAATTTTATAAATATTTTTTAAAAGCCTAAGCTTTATTTCCTTTCATATAGAAGTTACTTTTCCTTGAATTTATTTTTACCATTATATTGTAGTTGTATTGCTGGCATATTTCTATGTATTTTTGGCGCTAGACCAGCAAGAACCTTGACTTTTGTCCTTCCATTCTTCTAATCTACATACTCTTCAGAATGTCCTCTACCTCAGGCATGTTCCTACACTATAACGTCTATCAAGTCGGTCCTCGCATAGATTTAATGTCAATATCAAAAAATATTCGAAAATTTTAAAACATATCTAAATATTTATTAGATATATAGGATAAAGTACAAATATATCGATACTTTGATACTTCGAGCCTCGATGTTATTAATATTTAAAAAACACTGAAGCACATATCGATTATAATATAACAACATATAGCATCAATAGTTATCAAGTATATAAATATATATAGATATTTGGAAATATATATGTTGTTAATTTTTAAAAGAAATTAGTGTTGCCCAAACGCGAGACCCAAAGACTCGTACTGTGTTGGTTTTGGTCTTGCGGAAGAGTCTCGCAACTGTCTTGCAGTTACCTATTAGTCTATTAATATAGAGATGTTACTGTAATTTTTCAAAAAGATGAAACCTAACTAAGCTCGAATGAAAAATTGCAATAGTTAAATGCAAAATATATTGATTATACCCATTATTTACATAAACTAACTAGAATTGTCAAGTATTAGTAACTATTTTGTCTTAATTTGTACTCACAAAAACGATAGTCAGTCAGGCGACCTTGGTCTTGCAAAGTGCAAAACCAAGACTGATTTTGGGCAACACTAAAAGAAATGGTGCAGGGATTATCATTCTAGTGGATTCATTGATCTATAATAGTTTTAATAGGAATAATCAATATTTTTGTATTGCCTATCAGAAGAAAATCGAATATAAGATATAAAACCTAACAGAATTTAGAAAAAAATGTATTTTGGGTTTATATTCGAATATTAGTATAGAAATGATTTCTTTGAAATATTAGGTGCACCAATTTTTTATTTATTCTTTAATTAGCACGCTTCTATGAGGAAAGTGATAGATGAAAAAATCTCGAGCCTCGAATACTAACACATCATTTCTGGACATCCCGGGCATCGCACACCTTCATCACTACACGAATCGCTCTACGCAAGAACGTGCGTAATCAACTTTCCTCTACTGGACTAAACGCCATAACAGGAGGATCAATAATAACATCTGTTAAGTTTATGTTACGTAAATGGTCGTGCCCTGGTGAGATTACTAGTAAGCGTTTGTGGGCGATCTGCTTCTGTCAATTTTAATGTGTATATTTATCTTAGGGCTACTCAGTTGCGCAAGTATTCAGTGGGCTGTAGGTTCTTATAGAGCATTTCCGCTTTCCATTTTTGAAAAGTCAAATTTACATATTTGTTATCTATCATCGTATATAAATATGCATTTTTACCGCGTTCGTAATCGGATTTATGTGCTCTGAAAAAAACACCAAAACAATATATATATAAGATATATATCAACAACATAACCTTAAAGAAAACATAAGTTTATTATTTATTTTTCAGACTATGGGTTTACAATGGCTTCACATCACGTGCTTCGTCCTGCTCATCCAACTTTCGTTTGAGGCTACGTCGACTCAGGTAATAAACATTCATTTTCCAAAACTAAGTTTATTAACAAATTTCAAATAAGATTTTTTTTTAAAAAATTCAATTCTTTATTGAGAAATGTTACAATCTGTCACATCCAAGGACGCTAGTAATAGTTATAGATGCGTACGTAGCTCATTCACTCTCTATGTACAATAAATAAAAATAAATTAAATAATAATACTAAAATTAGATGTATATCAACTAACAGAAACTAAACTAATCAAAATAACTACTTAAAACACACATGCATTGATTTTTTAAAATATATATAATATTTTAATAAAAAACTACTGATTAAATAAAAAAAAATCAAATACATTGATATTTCTTATCACTAGATTTTTATCAAAAATTAAGCATTTTATCTATTATTAAGTATAGTTTTAGAAAAGATCGTTCGAAAGTCAAAAATCCAAACAAATAACACAATGTACAACAGGCTTGCACAACGTTTAGGCTACGTACATGATGTGCACATTTTTCTGCATTAAAAGGTTGATCTAAGGTATGAGGAATTGGATTTATTCGTTAATGTAGACATAACTAAGTATATGAATACAGATGAATTTTAGAAGAATTAGGATCTAGGAATTTGTAAATATAGGCCCTTACAAGTTTCAGAAAGTGGATAACTTCACTTATCTACAGAATCATTATAAGTGCCACCAATAACGTGTCTCTGGCAATAGAAAAAATAATTAATGATTCGTATAGACGTTATTTTGGACTACAAAGCATTATCGAATACAGAAAAAATATGTAATACAAAACTCTAATAAGACCAGTGTTAACATATTGCTCCCAAAAAAGTGCCATGTCAAAAATCAAAGAAAAAGGAATATCTGTCTTTGGAACAATTAATATAAATGGTCAATGGAGAAGACATGTCAACCGCGAAATGTACGAAATGGTGGTAGATCCCTCAGTCTTAAGTTTGACTCTAACATCCTGTAGTCTAGAACATTTCAATAGATGCAGAAATGTCCTTGATTCTTGTCGATGTATTGGCCATATTGGTGGTTTGAAAACTTCAATACAGTGAGGGAGGCTTTGGTGATAGTATTGTCCAGTATTCATTCGAAGCTGTGCATCAGCCTCTCTTCTTGGGACATCTAGAGGCAAACGTCCATTTTTATCAACTGGTGTAGCCCATCGCTTGTCCTTTAAATCCAACTATCAATTCCCATTCAATTCTCCAATGATATATCCCTTAATTTACTGTTTTGTCGTCAAGAAAGAGAGAGGATATCTGGTTATATTTTCTGGCATTTCTTTTGCTAATTGATTGGTTCTTTTATTACCTTATAAATGTGTGCCTTTTAAAAGCACCTCCTCTATCAAATCTTGAAAGATATTGATTTTCGGAAGAGCAGGCGTCATCAGAACCGACAATTATTAGAGCTCAAAATGTTTGCGTTTTGCTCTTCTTTACTATTTCCAAGGCGAGAAAAACTGCTTTGACAAATCAAAATTACTTGCTAAATTCCAGACAGACTTTGACAATTGGAAAGCTTCTGTATAAATCCCTGGATAAAAACTAACAAATTGAAATGGGTCGATTATGTGGTATTGATTGAGTGATTAAGATGTACTAAAAAATGCTAGAAGGAAAGCTGGAACTACGAGAGTAAGAGTCAGAGATTGCGATGGTTAGACAAAGTGGGCAAGGTGCCACGGCCTATCTTGATCGTCCATGACCGAAGGGCAATGGCACTAGATAGAGTAACCTTGTGATGGGTCCTTTAGGAGGCTAAAAGACCCACACAGGGTTGTAATCATGTTAAGAATTTAGACAGATTTTAAAATTAATAATTTAAGACTATTTTAATTACTTAGCAAATATTCTTCATCATCCACTCAGCATATGCCATATCTTTAAAACTTTATCGTTTCGGACTTGTTTGTCATCCTCCAATGTTTCAATAATACATTCTTCGTTAACTGGCAGTCAAAATGGTCTAACCTGAATAAGATTTTTTTAAATCTTGAGTGTATTTCTTGTATTTTAATTGATTGGTAAATCATGGGCGCATATTGAATATTGCTTGAAATTTCCAAATGTTGTAGGAAGCTGTTTTTTTTAATAATCATTTAGGGCAAATTACTCTAACGTCTCTATGGTCTATGGCGTCTAATGGTAGAAGTCGTTCGGGTTTTGTTAAAATTGAGAACAGGTGCTTTCTGTTTAACTGTAAACATTGTCTTGTTGCTAAACAATCGTTTATAGGAAAATGAAAACTACGTTTAATCTTTGGACAAATGTTGAGGCTTACGTGCTTGTATTGTTGATGAATTTTTTTTTAAGTGGAAACTTCTTTAGGCGCGGTTTAGTACTTTATTTGCGGAGAATTAATTAGATTGATCTGTCAGATCACCGATGTGTAATGTTTAGGTAAAGTCGGCTGGAGTCGACTAACTGAAATGTTTTTCCATATGCATTAAAATATCTCAAAAACTAAAAATCGGACCTGCATATTGTTGTTAAGGGAAACGTTCATCATTCAATCCTATTTGTAATGAGCTCTTATTCAAAATTTGTGGCTGAAGTGCTCTCTCTTAGTCTCCACTAGACTCTAATGCCAGTAACGCGGCTGAGAGAGAAGCACTGGGATCTCTTAGAGTCTCGCCTTGTCCTCTTCACGTGGAGGAAAGTGCTGGTCTTGAATCTCTCTCGGCTGTTAGTTTTGTTTTCGTTTGTTTGTTTTGTATATTTATTCATATCTTATCATTTATATATATATATATTTTTTTTTTCCTTAAGAATCTCTGTATTATTTTTTTTCACTTCAAGTTATATTTCTTTGATTTTATTACAGTTTTTACCTTTGTTATATACACATTATCTTTTATATATATTCTTTATGTATTTAATATTTTTATTTTATTGCATTGTAAATTTTATTTATTTTAATTTATTTATTTAGACATATAATATTCTGTCACGGGGACAATAATTATATTGATAAATGAATACATTCACACCGTATATACAAAAAAACTAAAATTCACAAAAGTAAAGTAATAACTAAATAATAATAAATAAAAACTATATACAATAAAAAAATAAAATAACCTAAATGAATGCATTGTAAATATGGTATGAATATGCCTTACAGCTCTAATACTCAATTCCCTTAAGTGCGGTAAAATATATTATACCTCGATAAAAAGATTTAAAAAGATTAACAAAAAATTACTTAAAGTTGTATCTTAACCCGATAAGCCGTGTTAGAGAGGGGAAATGGGAATATAGTGTCCAAAACCAAATTATAACCAATGTTATTAAAGATGTGGATATAAATACGTCAGAAACTAAAAATAGGACTTCGGCATTTCATTCTCTTTATAATGAGCTATTATTTGAGCATTTCAGTTAACAGAATGACTGACTCCAATTTCAACATTTTTGATTGTTAATTTTACTGATGTTTCTACTGGCAAAATTCCTATCTGCTGTACAGACAGTGATATGGTATCTATTAATCTATCTTTTCAACTATTCAAAATTTAGGCATCAAGTAATCCAAAATTAACCATCAAGCAATTCATAAATAATAAGAGTAAATAACTTACTAAATTTCTCTGATTAAATAAGTACCACTTTCATTTTTGGAGTGCAAGTAAAAAGGAGTGAATACATTGTGTGAAAAAACTCAAATATTTTTTCGGAAATAAATATCTTTTCCTTTTTCGCAAATATTCTTATTTGAACTGTTTTGGAGAAAAACAACAATTAGGTTCACACCTTTGTTATTGCACTTTAATAAACACTGATCTATTTTAATTATAGTTTTGCCACGCTCCTTCGTTTGACCAGCCCTGATGAAGGCCTGAACTTTTGGCTGAAACGTCGTCAAAATAATAATAAATATAATTATTCAATTATTCATTACAGTCAACCATAAATCCACAGTTATTTTAATTTACTAGCGATGAGAAGAACGATCCTTGACATTATTATGAATTAAAGAACATCAAAGATGGCAGATGAATAGAACTCCTCAGAGAGTGATTGGGTGAAGGACATCCCGGTTTTGAGTCGTAATGTCATAACTTCACGAAATAAAACAATGGGATCAAATTATGCTCGTTCTGACACACTAAGCCATGGCGCGTTGGTTAATTAATTCATTAATCTGAACTGTTTTGTCATCCCTTCCAATGCTGACAGGGGCAAGTCATAATCGAGATACTAACATTTATTCGTACGACCCGGAAAACCTACTAAATTTTTTTAAAAAACTATTTATTCAATATATTTACAACTGTATTACAATAAAAATACATCAAGTAAATGTGTGCACAAGAATATAATCACTTGAAAACGCTTGTTGAGAAACTACCCACAGGTAGCAATCTAACAATATGTCTACATAAGGAGATCACGGGGCCATCTTCTTTTCAGTCGCCTCGGAGGGTTATCAGGAATTGAAGAGGAAGCAATTTTAGAAAAGAGAGGATTAGAATGGTTATGAAGTTTATTATGGAAGGATAGGTATCTGGATTTGGCCAAATCGGAAACATATGGAACATTAAGGTCATTATGGATTATTTTATTTGTGACAAAGTAAGGAGCATTGAGGATTTTACGTAGGATTTTTGATTGTAAGGATTAGATACTAAAGGAATTTGATGGTTTAGTGGAGCCCCATAGCTCAACTCCGTAAGTCCAAATAGGTATAGTCATGTATATTAGTCTATTGTAATTAATTGGAAGTTTAGTGCGTTTGTCTAGTAAGTATTGGAGTAAGCGGAAACGTAGAGCAGTTTCTTGTCGTTTCAGTCTTGTATGAGGATTCCAAGTGAGACGTTTGTCCAGGTGTAGTCGAAGATATCGTATTTGTTTAAAAGGGATAAGTGGGGTGTTATTAAAGGATACTGTAGGACAGGAAGTAATAGGTTTACGGCGGCTACTAATATTAAAAATAAAAAACGTTTAATGTTGAAACAGCAACTACCACAGGTCGTCGTAATGATTTTCATGACAGACTGAATTCAAACCCACTTACTCAAGCTCTAACTACTGCCACAAATCCATATAATCGGCCCAGAAGACTGCTGAGGCTAAGAGACTTACTGCATTGAGCTGCATGATATTTTATTATTTTTATGTCATAATGTTTTTTTTACTATATTATTTTTTTTTTTGGATTAGTTTTTTACTAGTGCTTCATATTCTTGCTTGCTTGTTTTCTTTTCGTTCTGTTCTTGACATCATATGTATTTCTTATTATCATATTTGCTCATTACTATAGTACATAGCAAATGTATTTTGGCAGATATATGTATCTTAATAAATAAATAAATAATGTTGAACCAGATTCTCGTCCTTCCGTTTCGAAATTTTCCTGCTTTCAGTTTTTCTGCGTTTATAGGGAAAGCTGGTAGAGAAGACGTGCAAGGATGAAAAACGGCCATCAATAAGCATGTTAGGGCTGCAGGTGGAAGATAGTGCTTGAGTTATCACATAACTTTCTCTGGGTGGTCTCCTCCTGTTATTTTTTTATTTGAATAATAAAACTGTTTCCTTCCCGAGATACACATTGAGCATTCGATGTTATCATTTATAAGATGGAAATTCCCAGAGTAAGATTACATGGGCAAAACTTGATATCAGTCCGAAAATAAAGATGAAGTATGTACTTATTTTACTCAAGTTATTGTGCAAATTTATATGTAAGAGATTTCGAGTTATATGATAAACTAAACTATTTTCTATGTTAGTACAATGAAATATACTTAATTAGATTAATGTTCATTTATTAGAATAAATTCTTACGAAATTATAAATATTTATCAAATAAAATGTATTAAATAGTCACTCGTATATCGGTTAAGGTCATTTTAGAAAGGCGGTTCATTTACCTTTCCTTTCTCTTGGTGCCATTTCAAAGCAATCAAAAGGATCCCGCTGCTGTAATCGACATTTTCATGACTCCATTATGGAAATAAGTTATTTGTCATAGGGAGATATTACTTGGAGATTAGTTCCAAAAGATTATGCAAGCGGATATTAACGGATAGACCAAGGAATACATTGTTGCTATTCAACACATCAATTGATTATTAGGAAAGGTTTTGCAAAAAATCTTTAATGCAAAGTCCTCTGTGAACCTTTATTCGCATTATGATAGGTACCTATTGTTAAGATTAAACACTCGATTTATAAGTACTAGTTTTGGGTTTAATTGTTTCATATAGATGTTTAGAGTCCCTCTATAACAGGGGTCTCCAAACTACGACCAGATCCGACTCGCAAGAACTTTCAGTCGGGCCCACGGAAGTTCCTTTGATTATCTAGTAACATTTGAAAACTTATTTAAATATATGAAACTAAGCGAATCGCTCACACGCGAGGTTACTACAATAATATTGCGTTAGTTTTTTTCTTAGATAGCTCATATCAGAGCTGAAGTGTCATTTATAGAATAAGTTATTTTTTTTCATCACAAACTATGGCCCGCGTTACTTGAATGGATGTGTCATGCGCCCCTCAGGGATTAGTAGAGGTCTCATTGTGGCCCGCGGGTCAAAAAGTTTGGAGATCCCTGCTTTATAACAACTGACATCCCTCACAAGAAAAAGTTTTAAAACAAAAATGAACGATTGAAGAAAGTTCTAAGTAGCAATCTGTTGAAGTTCAGTCAGGTCGGATTGATAGGATAGGAAAAAGCAACACTAATAAATTATTTGGTTTATCAAAGAGAACGTTTTGGCGTCAAAATGTAGAACATGGTCAAATGAAAAACCTGTTCCTATTATGACGAAATATTTTTAAAAAATCGAATACCTCAAGTAATAACATATCAAAATGTCAGTCTTGGATTAAAAAAAAAAGAAGTAAAATAAGAAATAAAGTCAGAAAGGAATATTGATCTTCACAAAGCTCTCATAGTATATCAAGTCGAGGATTTAAGAAAATAAGTAGCTTACCTTTTAAATGATTCAAGTATCAGAAACTTAACAAAGTTTTAACATCAAAGGTAAATTCAATCCACAAATCATTCACGAGGCAGATGAACGAAATATGAAGAATCACTATAACACTGTCTATGTAATTTATTTTCTATGAATTAAAATCCAGTATTGTAGTCAACTTAATTGGCCGACGTTTCGAACTATAATATAATATAATATTATATCATATTGTAATATTATATCATCTTCATGGTCCATTCATTATATCTTGCAATTACTACAATATTCATAAATTTTTAGATATATTTAAAATATTATATTGATTTCAAGAAAATATGAATGGTTAATGAAGTCAATTATTAGATATATTTACAAATATTCTAGTAATTGCAAGAAAACATGAAAGTGTTATTTCGTCGATTATTTTTTTTATAAATTTTTTTTAAACTTGCTTATTAAGAAATATAACTATCTACCTCGATTAAGAGTACTTATAATAGCGTTCAGAGAACACATTAACAGAAATATAAATAAATAAATTAACAACAATATAATAAATAGAAATAAGAACAAAATATAATATCATAAGGAGGGAATAAATATATATATATATATATACACACACATATATATATATATATATATATATATATATATATATATATATATATATATATATACAAACCTTTTTTCAGCAACCCGCTTGAAATTTATGACACAGAATCCATTTATGTATCCCTGGCTAATTTTGTCTGGCGATATTTATATTAGTATCATAAAAATACTTTTATAAAAATCATTATAAATCAATGATAAATTAGTATCATAGTATGAAAATGTGATTTTTATATTAGCAGCATAAAAAAAAAAAAATATTCTGGTATTGTTCACTAATTCTGTAATAAAATCATTGCAGCGACTATGTTAAACCAATAGATCAAAACTACGCGTGTAATTATTATTTCGATCTTGTTCGATCCAACATTAGATACAAACCATAGAAAGGCGTAGTTCGTTGAACGACGATAGCTTTTTCATGCATTTTTTTCTTCAACACCAGATTACGTGAGCTTCATTGGTAAGGGTAAGTGGTTGGAAACAATAGACCTCGTTTATATCTGTGGAAAAAGACAACGCGTTCACTATTAGGTTCTAACAACTGCTGTCAACATAGATGAGGTGATCGGATCATTATTAAAATAGTTCTACAAAAATTGTCATTACTAGTATTTTTTCTTTCTATTTTTTTTATATTATTTTTTTCACATTAACAAACAGAAAAAAAATTCGATTAGAGAAATTATAATGAAGTTCATATCATTCAGATACTTGTAGCTCGATAAAGATAATTGACGCCGCTTTTCTTTTAATGAAACGTAAATATAAAACTAATATATTAATAGCATTAAGTTACTAGGAACAATATAAATATATCAATAAATGAACAAATACATTTTACACAAAGTAGTTTTTACTTATTTTGTAAATTTTTTGAAATTATATATACATGTAATCATTAGATCTAAAATAATTGATAATGTATGAAAACAGAGATTTTTGATTAAAATAAATTGTCAATTTAATATTTTACCATTGTAAACATTTACAATACAAAATAATTGAAAATTTTATTTCTGGATAGATACCCCCTCATGCCTGAAGGCCTAAGTGGATAAGCCTGTCATGTGATATTTTTACGAAAATAAAGATTTTCGATTGATAAAATAATATAAATATCTCTTAAAACACGGTAGAATAAACCTTAAAACGCATTCCACCTTAACTTCAATCTTTTGAACTTTGACCTTGACACGCATTCAAAATTAAGAACAGAAAACCAATAAAGTAAATTTTTCTCAAAATCTTTTTAAAATAATTTTTTTTTCGTTTAATTCTCCAATCAAGGGCAACAAACCACTGGTTCAATTAAATATACCATAAATGTTCAGTTTAAATTTTTTTTTTATACTGTTACGTAATAATATTTATCTTGATTTAATAGAAGACAGTTACTCCTGATATGGAAGGCACATAGATGGTTTTAATAACAAAGCAGTAATGTACAGCCCATACCATGGATATCAGTCCAGGGTTACTGTCCAGCTGATATCCAAATCAAGTCATGTACGAGCATGTTATTAAACAGACTGGCACTTGTTTTGTGCTCACCACTATGTGAAGAGTTATATGACAGATCCCCTCTGTATTTATTTCTTTAAGGGAGAGACTCGTTTAAAGAAAAAACTATGAGTTAAATAAAGAAAGCAAGAATTTACGAGCGGGAGTCGACAGAGAAATATGGGTTTCGTAACAATAGAATATTGATATTGATTATTTTTTATTTTTAATGAAAAGAGTGTATTATCTCAAGATTGGTGCATGGTTAAGATGAATTTAGCACAATTATTATTATATAAGTTATTTCATCCAAATTTTCGCTAGCGATCAGTTTAGTGAAACCGAAAGTATATCGACAACCACGATACAAAAACCTATAAAAACCATTAAATTGGAAAGCATGTGTTTGAGGTTTTCTGGTCAATCTTAGCCTCGGGTATTTTCAGGAATACAATCTAACGAAAATATTTAAAACATTACGTTTTTATCTAAAGCATGCAATAAAAATAAAACTGCTTCTCGCAAACAATTTTAGCTACTATTTAACAATTTTATTATGCATTTAACTCTTCCAATTTTTCTTTCGGGCATAATTATGTTTCTCGTTAGAAATAAGCTGATAGGTAACTACAAGACTATTCCAAGACTCTTGCGCAAGACCAAGAACAAGACAAAAGGTCTTGGTCTCGCATTTAAGAAACATTACCGACCAACCCGGATCGAAGATAATTTGATAAAAATGATTATGATTTAATGATTATGAGTATCTCTATTACTCACCAGAACTGTAATATCTTGGTTGAGGTTAAGTGCAAAGGGAGGAACATGATAGAATTTAATATCGTGTTCAGCAAATCGGATAATGAATGCATTATAAAATCGATAGAAAGGGGATAAAAAAGGTTTCTAGGATGGCGATTCAATATGACTTTAAAAATGTAGGATTTAGAATCATTCCTTTTGTAGGAAAGAATTTCGAATAAATAGAAGGAACCTGCAAAATAAGGATAGAACAATAACAGAATTGGAAATGAAGAGATTGTGCCAAGTATTAGAACATTTCAAATACTGAGGATCGAATGTAACTAGGAGTGCATTCAAAATCTTTGAGAAGAGCAAATTTTTACAGGGTTTTGAATTTTTTATGGGGCACATTTTGTAAGGTTAGAAATTTTCGGAGAGGACTATATTTTTGTGGAGTTTCAATACGAAGAAACTTACAAATCATATAAAAATTGGGAATGAACCACATTTACAACTTTTCTAATTTTACTTTCGCTTCAACTCTTCTTTTAGGGAACACCAAAGAAATTTAGTGATGGAAGATTGCGCCGTAAATTTTGAAAGGGAGTAAATGGGCACCTTTGATTCTATGTATGCGAATATTGAGGTGGGAGAATAATTTAGTTAAATGGATATTGTTAGCATCATGGAAAGCACCTAGTTTAACTTATCCATGTAGTCGTCTAAGTTACCCTTCAACGGCTTGTGTAAAATACATTATTTAATTGCTTTTAGAACATTACTTATTTAACTGGTTGGGTTATTTTTTTATGTTCATTACTAATAATCTATGATACTTACCGTAAAAAACAATACACATAAATAGCCAGCGAACACAACTAGCGGTCTATTGTACAAAACACTAATAGTAAAACAGTAATAGATGTACAGAAGAAAAATATATATACAATAAAATAATGAGGAATGAAAATAATTGTCTTAAACCACAATACAAATATAAATACAGTAATTTTCAAAAAGAATCAGTCTATGTCATCGTCTTGGAAAAGATCGCCGAAATGCTTTACGAAGTCCTGGTGTACTTCCGCCGGTGGTAACTCTTTGGCTTCTTCCTTCCTCTCGACCTCCAGGTCCCAGTCGTTGATCTCTGCTTGCGAGATGTGCTTCACCGACCTCTGTACTTCAGCTATGATTTCCGACACAGGTCTCATCTTTTTTGAGGGTTTGCGAGCTCCCGGTTGTTTTTTTCGTTTACCTTTTCTATGTTTGGTCATCTATTTCATATCTACAATTTTGAATGTACCGCAAATTTAATGTTTTAAACTTACGCACATATGCTCAATAAAGCATTACTCTTTGAGACATGTGGCTATGAGAGTCAATATACTCATTTGAACCGTTTCAATCACGATTTCAAATATATATATCGATTGTGATATGCATAAACAATTTGTAATGTATCTCTTTGTTTTTAAGAAAAGAAATACATTAATTTTTTGTTTACCTGTTTCATTTAATAATATACATCTGGTAGTGGTACTCGTAAGGGCTCTTGGCATAGTGAAAGAGGCTAAGTGAGAGGGAAAGTGAGATCCTGGTGGAAGCTTCAGTAAAATTGCTGTTGCTGCTCTGTGGCATACAGAGCTTCGGGTACGGCTATTGAATCATCTTGCAAATAATATAAAAACATAAAACACCTAACTAGATTACTATTAGAAGGAAGGACCATTTTGCACTCTGATGGACGGGAATAATATGGAACAAGACATAGTATCCACTTATCTGATGACGACATTGAGCCTCCGGATAAGGCCAAAGTCCGAAATGCTATTCAGATGCTTAGAAATAGAAAATCATCGGGAATAGATGGATCACCTGGGAAACTATATGGTGGCGAAGAAATAGTAAAATGTATTCACAAACACTTAATGAATGTCTGATAACAGGAAAAATGCCCAATGCATAGAGTGATTTATTCCAAAGAGCAATATTTAGGAGTCTTTTTTTTTTTTTTTAAATTATGTCAATAATTTCTCTGGAAGAAAAATAAAGAAACTATATATAATAAAATCGTTCTTGAAAGCATGTAGAATAAGACAAAGTTAACAAAAATGAATTAAGGACATCATTTTTCCCGTTTATTTTTGCTTTAAAACTTTTTTCTTCGAGGACTACTTAAACATTATTTTATATATTTTCGTCCAGAGTAATTACCTTTATAATTTAAAAAGTTTTCTTCTTCTTTTTTTCACACCCATTTGCCTTTTAGCGTGGGGGTGCTTCTAACCACCAATGCCATGCGTCTCGGTCCATGGCAAGGTTTCTCATTTCTACCAGAATCTTCTTTTTGTGTTTCCCTATTCGTTCCGAGAGGGTGAAATAGGAAATTCTTGGAAGTTCTCTCAGTTTGTTTCCCAACGGTCTCACTTACATAATTTTAATTAGGTCTCTGTCGTGAGCCATTCGGCAGACATGCTCATACCACCTCAGTTGCCTATTTTATAGGGTTCCCGTTAGTCATACAGGCATCTCTTCCCTAATCCACAAAAACAACTCAAAATTAAATTGTGGACCGGCTTCTGCATCAAACCAGTACGGGAAGAAGAATCAGAAGGTTCGCGTTTGAGTGTGGCCATCTTAAAGAATCTTGTGGGATCATTTTCCAGTCTATAGATCAAGGATAAACACCAAAGAAGTGCTTCGAAGATATTTTAAATAGAACTAACTTTCATTCTGAGAACCTTCAGGAATCAGAGTTTACGCATCTTAGTGAAATTAGAGTAGTCTTGGGAATGAAAATGTATTCAGATTCGTGTAATATAACTATTACGGAAGAAAAGGAATAATATTCTGGAATTATTTATCTCATTTTTTTTTATGTAGAGCTCATAGTGAACATTAACTTCAATTCTGTACCAGCTAAACCCCGGTATTTAGGTCTGAAGTTTAATTTAGAGTTGATGAGAACTCACATGGAGTTCAAACACCCTAGGGAATGCGAGTTGTGGATTTATCTTAATGTTGTCTCTTACAATTTAAAAATTACAGCATTATACAAGGTGTATATATGTAGCTGACGTATATTTGAGACACTAGCTGATACTTGTTTTAGTAATTTGTCTCATGGTTATCTTCGGCACTTAAACTCGATTAGTGATGAAGGTAAACTCTTTCAAAAATTCGAGTAGAAAGTATCAGTTTATTAGCTAGTAATGATATAATATTTTAAATTTTCCTTTTTAATGGTGACACTCCCAAGATGAGATCGTTTCTAACTTCTATTTAAAACCATCTAATGTTTTAGTAAAATGAGTAATTAACAAACTAAACAAATAAATAGAATACAACCTTAGTTGGCGTTTGGATTAGGAGCATAGTAAAATATCTTAGTAAGAGCACGCGCCTCACAATGTACGCGCCAGATATTGCCTCCGTGTATATTGTAAGAACCATTATGTTTTAATTTCCTTTCCATGACGGATAATAAATCCATTAGAATTTGTGCCACCAACATGGAACGCCGACAACTGCCAGTTGATAACGACACCCTCTCTTCCCTCCAAAATAAACATTTGAAAAATCAATAACTGGATTTCTTCTTCATAAAGGATCTCTTTCCATTGTTCGGAGCGAATTAGTATTTTACAGAGCCCTAAAATTATTGTTACAACAAGCAAAATGTTCACAATTTAAAAAAAATATATATAATTTATGGAAAGACAAGAAATGCAACTGGCATTACGGCGAGCAACATAATAATGTACAGATCTGAGGGAGAGGGAGGAGGGAAGAGGAGAGTATATATACTCTGCCATAAACGAAAGGCACATTCATTGATAAAATGTTTCGAGAAAATTAACCAGGTTTCTAACCCATTCCAGGCAAGAAACCAAGTGAGAATCCTCAGGATTTCTAAAAATCCAATGCTTTGCTTTATATTATTGACTTTCCGTTTGAAAAATATTATTTTCGAAAGCATGAAGTTCTTAGAAGGGTTGGTGATTTCTTCTATGAGGTTTAGGCCATTAAACCGGCTACAGCATAAGAAATCCGTAGGAATTAGCATTCAAAAAATGAATAGTCGCATAATATCTGAAAGATCTAGATGCGGTCATGTCTCAGGAAATGGAAACGACTTGTCAAATCAATAATTTTTTTACTTCTTACAATCGTTTCTTAACCGCAGATGAATAAACTTTTATCCAGGTTAGCACCTATAGGTAACCACAAAAAGCTGAAAACTATTTTAAACTGAACTTAGAACTGTAACGGATGGATCTGTTATTGTAACGTCATAGTTCCTAGAACAGTAATTTACGTAACAGGTAATTGGGAACTGTTTGAGGCGTACCATGATTGTTTTTCTCGGTGCTGGATTAATTAATTGGTGTATTACGTTGGTGCCTTCTGGGTTACTCAGTTGATTTTTTCTCCTATTTCCAAGTTAATAAACCAGTTTATGTTCATATAATTGAAATTTAAATAATCGTTCATCTTCACAAGTGATATTATGTTTTTTAGTGACTTCTGTTATAGTTGATGTTAGTGTTTATATTTAAGCTTGTGATACGAGGCGTATGATTGAAACATAAAATGTGTTAAATCCACTTCCTATCCTATAGAGTTAAAACTCTACTAAAGCAATGTGAATAAATAAACCAAAAAATAAATCGTCATATAATTAATTAAAATTTTTTTCAAATAATGCATCTTGTTTATGAGTAACTATTTCATATTTTTAAAATATTGATGTTTTAAAAAACATTTTAATTTTAGCAAGAGAATTAGTAAAAACGCTGCAAATTATTTCACAATGTTTTTTATTTCCAAACAATTATACACCTAAAGCAACATTACCTTCCTAGTTATAAAGAAAATTAAATAAAAGATGATTCCAATTATTGGACTAAACTTTTTTTTTTAATCATTAGTAATGTGCTAAAAAAATTAGCATTACTTCAGTAACACATTCAAAATTCAAAAACCAAAACAAAGGATATAAAAAACAAAATAAAACATATAAAAAAAAAATAGAGACCATATCTTTGCTCCTAATTGCACGATTTTTACGATTTATTTTTTCCTTTTTAGTAAATTCCGTACAATACAATATCTACAAAAAAGTGTAAACTTTTTGAGTTATTCGGATTTTGATTTCACCCAGTTCTCGTAACTTTTTTGCAGCTTCTTCTCGAGGACAGTCCCTCGCATATCAATTTGTACTTCGTTAATTTCAACTTTGCAGATTTCTTCGATTTAAGGGTCTGTTATTCCGTTAATGGAGGCGTAGTTTTTGAAAGCTCTATCGATTTTATGATTACTCCTTCCCTTATCTACTATGTTACTTGTTTAGCATAAATTATTTTGTGATTTATTATTAATTATTTTATATATCTCATCCATTTAATTTCCAACATCCTATAAATTAGAATTTTTTTTTCACGTTTAAAGTGTTATTAGTAATTGTTGCATTAATACTTCTTTCTTTTTATTTCCATGGTGTTACAAAATAGATGTTGAAAATATACTCAATTTCAATTTTTAATAATTTAATAGTTTCATTTAATTTAACATTAATAATATGAGATTCTCTTAATCATACACAGTCATATAAGAGAACAAATCCTGTACATTAAAATAATTATTTAACCACATAATCGGCATCTATTTTAATAATTTGTGTCACAGTTTAGCCTAGAGATAAAAAATGTAATTGTTGTGTTTATTAATGCTTTTAGTAAAAATAATATAAAATATGAAGATAACTTGAAATAAAAAACAGTGTAAATAATTTTATTTGCAGTTAATTTTAACTTTAACATGATCAAATAATACCGATACCGTTTTTCAAATATTTTTTATTTAAGTAACAAAAAACAAATACAATTTTATCCGCTATTCCAGACTTTTAAATGCATTTTTTCCATGTTATTATAGAGACATTTGAATAATCAGTTATTTTTTCAATCCGTATTTGTTATTGTATCGATGACGAATTATAATAAACTCCCTAAGACAAGAAGTATAATTTATTAGATTCTATCAGTTCCTCCGGAAATTTCACTCCTTCCTACCACCATCATCATACAAATTTTTTGTATTTTTCATCCATTTTTCAACATGCATTTCGTCAACAGGTGAATCAAATAAAGAAGTTCCATCCATTTTTAAACATGCATTTCGTCAACAGGTGGATCAAATAAAGAAGTTCCATCAATTTTTAAACATGCATTTCGTCAACAGGGGAATCAAATAAAGAAGTTCCATCCATTTTTAAACATGCATTTCGTCAACAGGTGAATCAAATAAAGAAGTTCCATCCATTTTTAAACATGCATTTCGTCAACAGGGGAATCAAATAAAGAAGTTCCATCCATTTTTAAACATGCATTTCGTCAACAGGTGAATCAAATAAAGAAGTTCCATCTATTTTTAAACATGCATTTCGTCAACAGGTGAATCAAATAAAGAAGTTCCATCCATTTTTAAACATGCATTTCGTCAACAGGTGAATCAAATAAAGAAGTTCCATCCATTTTT